AAGTGGGGCGCAGGGCCCCTCCTCTCTATGGGGCGCCAGGTCCTGTGTAGGGGGGGACTGGCGGAGGGGCAGGAGTGGGGCGTGGGACCCTCTTCTCTGGGGGGCGCCAGGTCCTGTCCAGATCCATGTTTGGGGGCTGGCTGGGGGGCAGGAGTGGGGCGCAGGGCCCCTCCCCTCTGTGGCACTGGCCCCGATCCGGCTCCAGGGCAGTGACCGAGTGTCTGGGTCGCAGCCCCAGCACAATGGCTGAGGACTGGACGGGCCGCCGGGGCCCCCTGCTCCCCCCCTCGATGCCGGGGGTCCCCTTGCCCCATCCCTGGGCTCCCCTGGGGCAGTCGGGCTCTGGGGGCAACTGAGCTCGTGCCATCCCCCGAGTCTGAATTAACTTCCCAGCGCAGACCTGCCCCTCCCTGCCAGGTGCACGCGCAGGACTCCTGGGTTCTCGCCCCGGCTCTGGGAGGGGAGTGGGGTCTAGTGGTTAGAGCAGGGTGCTGGGCGCAAGGACTCCTGGGTTCTCTCCCCGGTTCTAGGATGGGAGCGGGGTCTAGTGGTCAGAGTAGGGGGGCTGGGCGCCAGGACTCCTGGGTTCTCTCCCTTGCTCTGGGAGGGGAGTGGGGGCTGGTGGGTTAGAGAGGGGGGACCGGGGAGCCAGGACTCCTGGGTTCTCTCCCCGGTTCTAGGATGGGAGCGGGGTCTAGTGGTCAGAGTAGGGGAGCTGGGCGCCAGGACTCCTGGGTTCTCTCCCTTGCTCTGGGAGGGGAGTGGGGGCTGGTGGGTTAGAGAGGGGGGACCGGGGAGCCAGGACTCCTGGGTTCTCTCCCCGGCTCTGGGAGAGGAGTGGGGGCTGGTGGTTAGAGCAAGGGGGGCTGGGAGCCAGGACCCCTGGGTTCTGTCCCCGGCTCTGGGGGGGAAGGAGTGGGGGCTGGTGGGTTAGAGCTGGGGGGCTGGGAGCCAGGACTCCTGGGTTCTCTCCCTGGCTGGCTGTGTGACCTTGGCCAGTCCCTCAGGTTTCCTGCCTGACCCTGCCGTGGGGCGTTGTGCTCTCGTGGCCGTGACGCGTTTTGGGGGGTGTGGGTCTGTGCCCCCCTCAGCCCTTCAAACCCATCCTCGGTTGGAGTTCGGCGCCATCGTGGGGGATGGGGAGCAGTGACGTGACCCCCTGAGGCTGGGGGGCTGCAGTGACACCCCCCCCCCGCTGAAATCCTCTCCCATCCTGTCTCCCTCCCCCCCCGCCCTGGCGGGGGATGTGGTCACCGGCCGGAGAACAGGAAGGCAGCGCCGGCTTCCCGGCAGCGCCCCACCACCAGCCACTTAAGGGCTTTAATAATTGAGTTAGCCGCGCACGCGCCTGTGCCCGGGCCGGGGGGAGTGCCCAGGCGACCTGCAGGCCAGGGGGCTGGGCGGGATCCACGGGACAGGCAGCGGGGGCGCTGAGGGGGTGGCTCGCGTCGGGGTGGGGGTGGGAGGTGGGTTGGTGCAGGTGGCTGGGGTTATGATGCTGCGACGTGGGGGGGTGGCCATGGCATGCTGCCCCATTGCCTGTGGGGAGCTCCCCGCCGTGGCACAAGCAGCTGGGGGGTGGGCACCTTGGCGTGTAGGGCACCACATAGCTGGGGCTGCAGCGCCCATCCGGGCTGCCCATGTGGGGACTGCCCTGAGGTAGGTGCCTGGGCTGGGGCCAGGCAGGGGTCAGGCCAGGGCCTGAACAGGCAGGTGTGGGGGGCAGCCTGGGGTCTCGCTGGTGGGGTGCGGAGGTTGTTGCGTTCGGGTGTCTGGCGGTGCTTTGTGTGATGCAGGTTGGGTAGGACTCGGGTTGCCGTGGTGCGTTACGGGATGTCCTGGTGTATTTGTGTTTGCGGAGCTGCGTTGCGCTGCAGGATGGTGTGCGTTGTGTTACGTTGCATGGCTGTGTAGCGTTGCAGTGTGTGTGTGTTGGATGGCCCAGCTGCATTGTGTTGGGGCATGTGTGTGTGTAAGGGCTGTGATGGGTTGTAGGACATTGTGTTGTGCTGCGGTGTGTGTCTGTGGTGTGTTGCTGTGCGTCTTGCACTGTGCTGGGGTGTGTGGCAGGGCTGCAGGTGCTGTGTGTGTGGTTGTGTCCCTGCCCCCTCCTCGCCCCCCGGAAGTGTGGCTCAGCCTGAGAGGCCCTGCGGGAATGGGGGAGGGGATCTGCTGGGGCTGCAAAATGTGGGGGGGATGGAGCGGGACACACACACACACACACAGTGCTGCGTGTTTTCCCTGTCCTGCGCTCTGAGCTACCCCCTCCAGGGAGTGGCGTGGGGTGATGTCCTACTCTGGGGGGCCCTGGGGGGCTGCTGGCTCAGTGCTGGGCAGATCAGTGCTGGGGGGCTCCCCTCCCTGCGTACATCCCTGGGCTTGGCAGCCATTGTGGGTCAAAGCAGAGTCCCCACACCTGCCCTCCCCTCCTACAACCAGCACCTCTGGGGCTGCTCCCCCCATTCACCCCGAGGTTGGGGGACGGGATCCTGGTGCAAAGGAAAACTCCAGAGTCCTTCCCCGTTGCTGGGAGTCTGGGGGGCCAGGGAGCCCCAATACTGGGGTATGGTGCAGTGACCCGGGGGGAGAGAACCCAGGCGTCCTGGCTCCCAGCCCCCCTGCTCTAACCACCAGCCCCCGCTCCCCTCCCTGAGCCGGGGAGAGAACCCAGGAGTCCTGGCTCCCAGCCCCCCCTGCTCTAACCACCAGACCCCGCTCCCCTCCCAGAGCTGGGGAGAGAACCCAGGCGTCCTGGCTCCCAGCCCCCCGCCCCAGTTGGGAGAGAACCTAGGCTTCCTGGCTGTGTGTTTAACCCTTTGCCTGCTCTCTCCCTTCCAGTCTGGACCAACGTGGAGCCGCGGTCTGTGGCCGTGTTCCCGTGGCATTCCCTTGTGCCCTTCCTGGCCCCCAGCCAGCCGGACTCCTCCGTCCAGCCCAGCGAGGGCCAGCAGCCTGTCAGTCACCCCGCGGTGTCCAATCAGAACAAAGGTGAGGATGGGACAGCCCCATGTGGGGCACTTGGGGAGGGCCAGGGGGGCTGTGAGCCAGCCCAGCTCCTTGCCAGCACAGGGGAGCTGCTGGCTTTTGTGTGTGACCCACTAAAATGGTGCCCGCGCAGCAAGCAAGGGGTGCAGCCAGCAGGGGGAGCTCGCGCTGTTGTATTTCAGTGTGACCCACAAAAATGGCCCCTCTCTGCCTGGTGCATTCTCATGGGCTGTCGCCCTTGATCTTTGCCCCACCAGAGCCTCCAGAATCAGCGGCCGTTGCCCATGACCTCCCGGGGGTGGCGTCGGGGGCTGAGCTGGGGGCTTCCCGCCCCGACAGTCCAGCCTCAGCCCCCCAGGCCACGGCAGCGGCTGGAGGGGGAGAGGGCCCCTCCCAGCTCGAGGATGAGGCCCCGGGGCCCCCAAGGCTGGACAGCGAGACAGAGAGCGACCACGATGACCCGTGAGTGGGGGAGGGGTTGGGGGACATGGGGCTAGTGCAAGGGGGGTGGGGAGACGGGGCTTGCACGGGGGGGCTGGGGCTGGCGGGGGGTACGAGGGGGATGGGGGGATGGGGCTGGTGCAAGGGGGATGGGGAGACAGGGGGCTGGCACAGGGGACATGGGGCTGGTGCAGGGGTTCGTGGAGGATGGAGGGACATGGGGCTGGTGGGGGAGTAAGGAGGGTTGTTTGTGGCACGTGGTCAGGGCCGGCAGGGGGACATGAGTTGGGGGATTGGGGCTTGTGGGGTGGAGGTAGGGGCAGGGTCGGGGGTGGGCTGTGAGGGGATCTGGGGCAGGGACCAGGCTGGGGGGAGGTTGGGGAGGGGTCAGGGACGTGTCGGGATCGAGGGGCAGCAGGGTTACAAGAGTGGCGCCCGCCCTGCGCAGGTTCCTGTCGATCGTGTCCCCCGAGATCCAGCTCCCTCTGCAGCCCGGGAAGCGCCGGACGCAGTCGCTGAGCGCCCTGCCCAAGGACCGAGACTCTTCCTCCGAGAAGGATGGGCGCAGCCCCAACAAGGTGAGCCAGACTGTCCCCCCCCCCCACGCCGTGTGCATGGAACAGCCCAGAGAGACCTGCTCCCCCCCATCTCTGTGCATGGAATGGTACAGAGACAAGTGTTCCCCCCGCAGTGCTGTGTGCATGGAACAGCCCAGAGAGACCTGCTCCCCCCCATCTCTGTGCATGGAATGGTACAGAGACAAGTATCCCCCCCCCCCCATGCTGTGTGCATGGAACAGCCCAGAGAGACCTGCTCCCCCCCATCTCTGTGCATGGAATGGTACAGAGACAAGTATCCCCCCCCCCACGCTGTGTGCATGGAACAGCCCAGAGAGACCTGCTCCCCCCCATCTCTGTGCATGGAATGGTACAGAGACAAGTGTTCCCCCCGCAGTGCTGTGTGCATGGAACAGCCCAGAGAGACCTGCTCCCCCCCATCTCTGTGCATGGAATGGTACAGAGACAAGTGTTCCCCCCGCAGTGCTGTGTGCATGGAACAGCCCAGAGAGACCTGCTCCCCCCCATCTCTGTGCATGGAATGGTACAGAGACAAGTGTTCCCCCCGCTGTGCTGTGTGCATGGAACAGTCCAGAGAGACTTGCACCTCCCCAAGGCCAAGTGCATTATCCCCTATGTGGAATGCAGCATGAGAATTCACCCCTCCTTTAATTCCCACATGGAACGCACCACAAGACCTCATGCGCCCCCCCATCCTCCATCTGGAACGCTCCATGGTAACTCTCCCTCCATCCCCCAAATGGAATGTGGCATGAGAACTCACCCCCCCCTTTATTTAATATATGGAACACTCCATGAGGACCCCCCATAGGCTCCCCTCCGTGGGGGAGGGCTATGATTGGCTGCGACCCCCCCCAGTCTCCCATAGGAGAGATGTGATTGGTTGTGGGTGCTTTGCTCGTTTGCAGCGGGAGAAGGACCATATCCGGCGACCCATGAACGCCTTCATGATCTTCAGCAAGCGGCACCGGGCTCTGGTGCACCAGCGGCACCCGAACCAGGACAACCGCACCGTTAGCAAGATCCTGGGCGAGTGGTGGTACGCGCTGGGGCCCAAGGAGAAGCAGAAGTACCATGACCTGGCCTTCCAGGTGCGGGCACCAGGGCGGGGTCGGGGCGGGGGTGTCAGCGGGGGGCGCTGTGCTGCAGGGGGCGCCATGTTGCGGTGGGGGTCAACGAGGGAGTCGGGGGCCCAGCATTGAGGTCAGCCGGGGGGCGGTGGTGAGTGGGGGGCTCGGGGGCCAGTGACTCAGGCAGGGGGAGCGGGGGAGTCGGGGATCCGGTGGGCGGGCGGCTCGGGGGGGCAGCGGGGCGCCCCCTAACCTGGTCCCTGCGTAGGTGAAGGAGGCGCACTTCAAGGCGCACCCCGACTGGAAGTGGTGTAACAAGGACCGGAAGAAGTCCACCTCGGATGCCAAGCCCTCGGCGCCGGGGCCCGGGGGGGCCCCAAGGAGGCACGGGAGCGCAGCATGTCAGAGACGGGCACGGCCACCGTGCTGGGAGGTGAGACCCCCCCCCTTCCCCTCTTCCCCCCGCCTCCCCCTTGGGGCTCCCCCGACAGCCCGCTCAGCCTCTCTCTTCTCTCCCTGTAGCCTCCTCGGAGATCCCGGCGCTGGCGGGGCCAGAGAGCAAGGCAGGGGGCACAGGGCATGTGCCCGGGGAGCGGCTGAGCCACGTGCCGGGGGCTGGGGCGCAGCGGCCCCGGGCCTTCTCCCACAGCGGGGTGCACGGGCTGGACGCCGGGGAGCGGGACAGCCAGGCGCTGCAGGAGCTCACGCAGGTACCGGTGGGCTGGGAGTTTGGGGGCGTGGGCTGGGGGCTTGTGGTGGATTGGCGTCTGGGGGGGTGCAGAGCGGGTGTATTGGGTCCCCTGTGGGGAGGCCGTGCTGGGGGCGGGGGGATGGGATCCCTGGTGGGGAAGAGGGTCTTGGGTCTGGGTTGGGGGGCCCTGCTGGGAGGAGGTGCAGAGGTCCCAGCCCTCAATCGCTCCCCGCTCTGTTGCAGATGTGTTCTGGCCCGTCGCCCTACCCCGGCGGGAAGGGGCAGTATGGGGGGCCGGGCCCCTCGGGGTCCCCATTTGCAGCTCCAGGTGAGGGTCCCCGGCCCCCCCTGCTGCCGCCGGCCCCCCGCGCCGCCCGCTCCCAGCGCGTGGCCAGCGAGGACATGACGAGCGACGAGGAGCGCATGGTCATCTGCGAGGAGGAGGGGGACGATGATGTCATTGGTGAGCCCCCCCGAACCCGTCAGAGCCTGCCCAGAGCCCCCCGGACTCCCCACTGCCCCCCAGAACCCCCTTTAGCCCCCCCCGTGGCCCTGCTTTATGGCTGCACACCCCACAGCTGTGTCCCCCCGGCACAGCTCTGCAGGGAGGGGGTGAATCCGGGCAGCGAGGAGGGGGCCTTGCGGGCGTCACTGACTCTGCCCCCTCCTGCCCCCCAGCGGACGATGGGTTCAACCCGCCCGACATTGACCTGAAGTGCAAGGAGCGGGTGACGGACAGCGAAAGCGAGACCTCCTCGGGCGAGGAGCCCGACGGCAAGGTGAGGGCGGCGGGGGGTTGATGGGGGAAGGGGGAGCTATGTGGGTTTCATGGGGGCAGGGAAGGGCTATGGGGGGCAGGGAGAGGCAATGGGGCTGTGTGCGGGTAGATGGGGGGGCAGGGGGAGGCAGTGGGGCCATGCGGGTGTTGATGGGGGGGCAGGGAGGGGGGAGCTATGTGGGGCAGTACCTAACCTCCCCCTGTGTCTCTCTCTGCCCCCAGGGCTTTGGGCGGAAGCTGTTCTCCCCAGTGATCCGCTCCCCGCCGCTGCCCCCCTCCTCGGGCGCCTTCGCCCCCTGCCGCCCGCCAGCCCCCACCGAGCTGGACCTGCCCCACGGCCCCGACCAGACCCCCCTGGCCAAGCCCTACAGCCCCTTCCCGCTGGCGCTCAGCCCCTTCAAGGCCCAGGACTCACGGGGGCCCCGGCCCCCTGGCCCCCTGCCAGCCAAGCGCCCTGAGCCGCCCCCCCCTTACCGCAGGAAGCGGGCTGACAGCGCCGGGGGGGCTGAGACGGGCGCTGCCGGACCCTCGGTCATCTCCTCCCCCGGGGGGGTGCTGCAGGCGCTGGTGCTGCCGGAGCCGGGGCGCCTGTCCGCGGGCACGGTGCTGGTGCCGGCCCCCTCGCTCAGCGGCTACGGCGGGGCGCCGGGCCTGGCACGCACCGCCTCCACCGTGGTCACCAACGTGGTCAAGCCGGTCAGCAGCACCCCCGTGCCCATCGCCAGCAAGCCCTTCCCTCGGGGGGCAGGTGAGGGCAGGCCCCTGCTCAGCCCCCCAGCCCTGGAGCTGGCCCCGCCGCCCCTGGCCGTGCTGGGGGGTGCCAAGCCGGAGGCCGTGCCCGTGGGTCGCATCGGCCTGCTCTACGCCGACAAGAAGCCTCCGCCCCCCGCCAGCCAGGCCCCATCCCCCCACCTGGTGGTCGGGCCAATGGGCAAGGCTCCGGCGGCCCCGGGCAACGTGGTGACCAACCTGCTGGTGGGGCAGGCGGGGGGCGCGGCGGCCGGGCCGGCCCCCGTGACTGTGCTGCCGCCGCAGCCCTCAGTGCAGTTCATTACCCAGAACCCCCCGGGGGCCGGGCCCAATGGGCCGGTCCCCCTGGGCATCCTGCAGCCCCAGGGCCTCCTGTCAGGGGCGCCAGGCAAGGCCGGGGGCATCACCCAGGTGCAGTACATCCTGCCCACCCTGCCCCAGCAGCTGCAGGTGGCCGGGGGCAAGGGGCCAGGGGCCGGAGCCGCCAGCATCCACTTCACCCTGCCCCCCACCAGCAGCAAGGTGCTCGCCACCGCGCCCCACGGCCTGCCCATCCTCCAGCCTGGGCCTGGCAGTGCCAGCACCGCCGTCACCGTCGTCTCCACCGCACCCAAAGGTGGGGGGCGCTGGCCCCAGGGGCTGGCTGGCTCGGGGATGGGGCGGAGGGCTGGTGTGTGGGGTGGGGAATGGGGCGGGTGGCTGGATGGGGCGGGGGGCTGGCTGGTGCATAGGGGACGGGGAATGGAGCGGGGGGCTGGCTGGTGCGTGGGGGATGGGGAATGGAGCGGGGGGCTGGCTGGTGTGTGGGGTGGGGATTGGTGT